GATCATTTTGAGAAGGTGAAGGACGAACCCAAGGTGATATGTAAACTCATCTTCATTGGTCGACTACAAACATGACGTATCATCTGAAACATGTCAGTAGCTACATGCCCATTAGCCACTTAGCACAATCATTACTGCTTTGCCGACAGCGTCATTAACAGGCGGCTCGCTCAGTGTGTGACGTGCACTTGTAGATAAAATATAGGCCTATATTAACGAAGGTTCATTAGTACGGTTTTGTATTTCTCTGTAATGTAGCACAGTGTCAACAATGTTACTTATTGAACTCAAACCATTGTGTTGCCCCGCTCAAAATATATAATTTAATAATCAAATTAATATCGTAAACATGCGCGCGACTAGTCGACTACTGGCCCTGAATGACGACTATTGGTCGACTAGGAAAATTCTAGTCAGGGGCAGCCCTACTTAATACTTAATAATATCCCATGAATCAATATCATGAGCATATTGTAACAATTAAGTTACTAGCACATTAAAGACCAATGTGGCCAAGAACTACGTGGTATTTTGTCTTACATAGTCATTATGTGATTGGTTATGTGTGTGTGTGTGTGTGTGTGTGTGTAGCATTTGCTTTGGGTAATGCTGCTACTGTGTTCTAAATATCCCTGGTGTTATCGCTCTGCTGTCACCCCTGGCCAGGCAGAGAATAATAGGAAATAATGAACTGTTTCAGAGCCTCACACACACACACCCACTCACACACACACATTTTCCCTATTGCCCCCAACACACACACACCAGCTGTTCATTAACCAAAGTATGCAAACGAAACTGCCGCCCTGCGCCTCCCCTGATTATCAGCCCCTCCTCCCCTTACTGCTCTCGTCTCCTCATACTGCTCTCATCATCTCCTCCTCGATCCCTCCTCATTTCATCTCCTTCTCTTTCCCTTCATGTCACCTACCACCTTTATTTTCTCCTCCTGACCTCTCTAGTTTGCCCTTACTTATCTTCTGTCTCATTTTTGTCATTTGCTTCTTCTCCATGTTGTCTCTCTTAATGTCAGCACCTCCTTACCTTCTTCCCGTCGTCTGTATCACCACCTTCTTTTTCTCTTCTTCTCCTTCCTCACTCCTCTCTCCCTTTGAGCCTTCCTTCTTTCTTCCTTCTCTTTTCTCAACAGACCTCTTTTTCTCCTCTCAGCCACGTTGTCTGGTTCTCTGTCCTCCATCTCTGCTCTGATTTCCTCCTTTTCACTCCCTGTCTTTACCCCTTCGTCCCTTTAACCTTTGCCTCAATCAGTTTCTATCACCCCTACTTCTCTCCTCTCCATTATTTCCCTTTCCTCCTACCCTTATTGTGGATACTACTTTAACTCTGTCCTCCTACCTTATTTCACCCACTCTCCACCACCTGTTACCCCAATATGTCTCCTTCTCTTTGGCTCTTCCTCTGTCCTTTTCTGTCTTTTTTCTCTTCACCTGTTCATGTGCATATTGGCATGATGGACTTAAAGGAGCTGTATGCAACATTCAGAATATCAATATGGCAGCAAACAACTACGTAAAGATAAAATGGAGTAATGGCATCCTGAGCAGAGAATGAAGTCACGCTCCCTCTGTGTGTGTTGTAATCAGTGTGGTAGCCATGCCGGCCACACATGCATGTTAGCGCATGTCATTTCCTGTGAGTGTATTCCACTGGCTAGCTTTAACTGCTGCTCCGCACTATGCTTATATGGTGGTTGCAACTGATATGCAGGCTTTGTAATGTCGGAAGCTTACCTCCACCCTCCAGTGTCTGAAATTACCCTTTTATTACCTGTCACTGTGGGAGGCAAGTATTTTTTTTTGTATTCCACAAACTCGCTAAATGAGTGGCTGCGTATAGTATGTATGTGCACATCTTTTTAGTTACGACAAAGTGCCAGATGGCCTGACGATTGGCCACTGCCAACAATGTGCCTTCATTTGACAGGTGCTGGGTGCTAATTTCAGAGCGTGCAATCAGCATTGTTAGCTGCTAGCCGCCAGCTCAGCCATGTTGAGAACCATGTGCAAGCAATCCCGCCCCAGACTCTGAATCACATGTTGCAAACACCTTGTTAAAGCCAAGTAGATATTTCTTATAGTACTCCCACTATGATAGTACTATTTACCACAGCTTGAACGACTCACCACTGGTAGCACCACTGCTTATTTATCTATTCTTCTAATCCACCCTCGACCTTGTCTTCATTCAGAATCACGGTGTTAAAGCAGGGCTTCCCTGTATACAGTGCAGTTGCCTTGCTACAATATTTATACCAGCATCTATTGTTGTAAAACATTTTGTTGAAGAGCAATGTTTTGGAGAGCCGGCCAATCTATAATTTATGACTTCTCATCTCACTGACAGCCATGCCACTGGTCAGAGGCATATTCATGATGAGCACTCTCATGTCTTTGTGTGTGCATGAGATTATGAAAATCCCTTAACGCTGAAGGAGATCTCCCTGCATGCCTGTGTGTTTACTGTTTGACAGTGTGTTTTGTGAGTGTGTGTATGAATCAAAAAGCAGAATCACAGTATCCTGATGCTTTGAGGACCTCCATTTGGGCCTCAGGCATCAGCTCCCACCAGGTTCCTTAAGGGCCCCGGTAAAACAAAATACACACAGTTAGCCACATTCTTTATCTGTTCGCCCACTCACTATGCTGCAACATGCATAACAGAGAGTTTTTTTTATTCGCTGGTGCAGTCTTCATGTACTGAGAGAAAAAATGCTAAATTGATTATTCTGGTGACATTAGTATATATCAATAAGCATAATCTATTTTTAATGAAGCAGGGACTCATGTGTGGCTGAGTGATCAATATGGCTTTAAGGGAGATGTTGAGGTGTTGCAGAGTCCTTTGGGGAGCGAGTGATGCGTGGTTGGCAGCGTTTTAGAAGAAAAATAAAAGGGTAGAGGGAGCTGGAAGTCTTTCGGTTGGGGTTTAACCAACTCACCTGCTGGCCAGTGACCAATAGGATGGAGCCCTCCTTGGCGTGCATCACCTGCCGGAAAACGTGGTCGAGGATGAGGAGTTCGCTCCAGCAGTTCTGCAGCAGCTTCATCTGGTCGTCCACCTGGTGAGAAATAAACACATCAGGGTAACTACTTAACTCGTGGGAGTTAGAACAAACAAAACAATGAAAGCTCATGAAGAGATCAACATGGTGTGCATCCAGCTGCACAAATATAAACTACAAATGTCCGTGAAAATGTCATTCTACCATTGCTACGTGCCCTTTGATAGATTACACTTCACACAAACACAGGATAAAAACCAAATGGTTGTGGTGGCACCGTGTCAGCCTCGGCAGCTTGTAAATATCACAGGCAGCTGTTTGCAGGGTAAGCTTGCTCACAGGTCAATCAGTTGTGCACCTCTGGCATTATTTTTTCAACCTTACACAAAGCTCAAAAGTCCCCCTGTACACACTTGAAAGCTTTCTCATGTGAACCTTTCCACACTCAGTTAAGCACTTTGTTACGTGCCTGATTTAACAATGTTGCCAGGTTTATCTGTTTGCCTATTGCCAGCCATTTCTGAGTGATTCCACAGATGATAATGATTAAGTAGCCCCTTTTTTTTTCCTCCTGACTGCCAGCCGCTGGCTCCCAGGGACCTGCCAGGTGAGCTCGGGAAGCTCAGGCAGGTCAATCGGTAGTTCTGTACACCAAAACAACCCCCTCCATTGTAACTGTTAGTCTCTTCCCATGCCTGGCTGTGTTAATCATTACTCCACATAGCCAAACGCAGACAAAAAGGGCCACATTGAGCAAGAAGGAATGAGGAAAATGTATGAGAGGCTCATTCTTCCTCCTCCCCCCCCCCCCCCCCCCCCCCCCCCCCCCCCCCCCCCCCCCCCCCCCCCCCCCCCCCCTTTTTCCTATCAACAAACATTGTCCTCTTTGTGGTATCATTGGAAATAATGTGTCTTTTTGGGCACACTGCGGTTTTGCAGTTGGATGTGAACTGCTTTGTTACTCTGAGTCTGTGAGAACGGTCTGTGATGTTCATTGCCAATGTCAACCACAACTTGTAGTGTGAAGAATGTGGATCGATGGTATAAAAAAAAAAAGTCTGCGATGCAGGCAGGTGCAGCCTGAACACTGCTGAAAGGAATTTCTTTTTGTGCTGTCTGGAAATTGCAAAGTGAAGTGTTTGTTGAAATCTCTGATGACCTTAGGTGAAAATCTGATGTCAACAACTGTAGCCCCGCCAACAAAGGCCAAACACTTTATTACCTTGTATGACATGGCAGTGGCTGTGGCCAAATCTGAAGTCTATTGCTTATTGATTAGAATTGTTATGACTGGTGTTTGGGGGCTGGTGTCAAACAATGTCTGTTTGCCTTTCAGACAGACATAACATGGCAAAGCCAAAGAAAACAGCACCAGTAGGACATGAACACTTGGGCTGCCTGACTATAGTTGTCTCTGGGTTATAACTTGCTAGATTTATGTTGTATGAATGCGGTATGCAGAAACCAACCATATTACCCAGACAGGGATTCTGCAATAATAATTAAGTTTGCTTTGCTCCTGACCTCATTAAAATCCAATATGTAGAAACATGATACCCATAGTTTTAGATTTCAGGGGGGAAACAGAGGACATGAACCCTCAATATTTAGAACATGTGCATTTGTCCCACCTCAATTTAAACATGAAAGTAGCAGAGAATTAAAATTCACAAAATTAATTTTCACAAAATGAAAGACATTTGCACTGTAAACAGATGCAGAAAAGGCAAAAAATGGTGCATACAAATTCACCAGGATGCATAAAATTAATTTTTTATGCTCAAAACAACTTTATGATTTTTATGTGATATGGGTGATAGGTGAAATAAATAAGTTTGCCAAAACTTTATTTACAGACAAAGAAAAGAGGCAGGGGGAGAGCTGCATTGTAAAAAAGTTCTGTCAATCAATTTATCACAGATAAACAGCAAATAAAAATGTATTGTACTTATCAGAGACCCCACTACTCACATTTTTCTGAAACATGTTGTGAGATAAAAATAATTTTATAAGCAAGTTCATGAAAAGTCATGAAGAATCGAGGTGATTAAACAATGTTAAAAATGTCTGTTGTTAAATTATTAGGGTTAATTTGAAGCAGTACCAATGTTTAGTGGCTCATTATGCCTCTATCATGCCTACACTGACAAAAATTGTTCATAAAATATAGCAGATAAATAGTAGAGTGAATTATGCAGCAAATAAAATCCAAAAGTATCCAGTCTTTAATGTCTTATATCTCCCATATGTCTGTTTTAAGTGAAAGTCAAATGACAAAATACAACAAAGCCTCTGTGACCTTTTGCAACATTTTTTTGATAGCCACATAGACTCTTTTTGTCTCCCTGCTCCTCCGTCCTATACATCTTTTTTTGTGGTCGCTCTCTGCACTCAAGCATAGAATGAAAAAATTCAAATGCCTTCATTAAAACCATCAGAGTGCAAGAAACGCAGTCAAAGGAGGGACCTCTCTATACTGTGCCCCAATCCTCTTCTCTTCATTTCTCCCCATACCCTGGAAGCACGTGTAACAGTGTGTGTGTGTGTGTGAGGACGGATGGGTACATGTAAGGCCCAGCCTCTTCAAAGGACCCCCCTGCATGTCAGTGGTGCTGGCAAGTGTCAGGGTCCTCATCAAAGGGCTGTCCTCACTCTGCCTGCCTGGAAGCTCTTCTCTGACAAGAGGCCTGGGTCATCAAAGGGGGACAGCTCAGAGGGGATGACGGCGGGTGATAGCAGCCAAGACGAGGGCTGGGGACACCCGCCTGGAAATGGGGGGCCTGGTGACAGACAGACAGGCGTGAGGGCGGGCCAGAGGTTGGGGTTCAGTTCGCTGACCTTTTAAGTGCCAGCGACACGAGCTGTTTCCCTGACAAGCTCTTCCTTTGCTCTGTCAAATGAGCAACGTTCATGGCGCCTGATCTTACAAGATCTGCTGCCTGCTCGCTTAGATAATATGAACTTTCTGACATGGATTGGACGGGGCACTTTGTCTTGTGTTTTCATGCAAGCAGGTCCTGAATGCTATCTCTGTGCAGCCAATACAGTCAGTAAAACACTGGCTGATTTTCATTTTGATTTATTCCCACTATGACACTACAAAGTTCACATGAGCAGTCTGATCAACTCACAAGGAGCAATAAAACAGCTGATTTATTCAGTCGGTTAATTTTTATCTTGCCACATGCTTGTGGAAAGTTTAGATAACTGCCAGTTTATTGTTTCCAGTGATGTCAACTCAGTAGGAAACAAACTTGTTGTGTTGCTATTCCTTGACTGTTTTTCACTTCCCTACTTTGCTTAGGCTTATTTCAGTGTCTTATTTCTTATCTTTTTTAATGTTGGCTTAACTGATTGTATTGGAAATATCATGACTTACTTATTTGTAATTTCAAAATATGACAGTATGCTGAATACTAGGCACTTGTTTATGTCTTCTACCCGCTCACTAATAGCACACAGATCTGGACATTGCTCGCCATTTCTCAAAGTCGTTTTTTTTAAGTAGCATCTGTGATTTTGTTAATTAAAGCCCTTGCATAGCTTGACAAGCTATTGCACTCCCCCATACTTCTGTAGTTATACTGTGTGCACACGCTCATCTACACCATTCTTGTGTACAGACTGCAAAAGGGTTGATAGGATAGGATGATACATGGTCCAGATTGTTTTGTTTTTGTTTGTTCATTAAAGGGTTAGTGACAATATTTATCACCATCTATAAGTAAACACTTCTATATACGTCACTGGAAGGATCAGTCAAATTAAGGAGAATACGTTATCAAAGCTATACTTTGTAAAGAAAATCATGCTACAGTTGTCATGTGGATCTGATGTATTAGAGCACCTCTACTGCCTTGAAGAGAAGAATTTTTTTTTGACAGAGTCCAAACTCAAATTTCCCCAATTGCTTTGCTTGGCGATATTCAATTTGCCAAATAGAAAACTTTAGAAATATAATTCTGTATGTGACTTACTTTGAAAGGAAGGCATTTCTTTTTTTGGATAATATTGGATTTTATCTCATATTTTAATTCACAGGAGTAGCATGCTCAAGGTTACGAAAATGGTAGGTTATATCCAATGCTGCTAAATACTTTTCATAGCCTCTTTGTAGTCTTTGTATGCTCACTGCAAACCAACCAAATGCGGTGCAGATTCATATAATTCTTTCTCTTTCTTGAACTACAGGCCATAGTCTTGCTCGTGAAATGCTTACCTATGAAAAAAATCTTTCTCTGAAATAGTTCATTGAGTTGAGGTCAGTTGGCCATGGCTCAGTGTAAAAATGACACAATCGTTTTGTGGTTTGAAACCATAATTCTGCATTTGGAGTGAAAATGTACCAGTTTAGTTTCACAGCATTAATTCACAGAAGAATTTGCAGCAACATAAGAGAACAGTTTTTCTACCTTTGTGTCTACGTTACACATTTAGACAATCCCAAGTCTCTACCTTGGATGCAGCAAAACTCATTACAAGGATTTAGCTTCTAAGGGTCATGCCGACGCAGAAATTGCACTCCCAAGAAATTGCTTCAAAATCCACATTTAAGGCTTTTTCAAGGTGTGATCTATTTAATATTTTAATATCATCACCAGTGTTTGGTTAAAGAAATGAGAGAAATTCCAAGCAGGAACTTCTACTTGCAGCAGCCAGCAATGAAAAATACATATCCTCCAAGAAACCAATTTAACACCTTTATGATCGTTCAGGCGAGTGGGATCAATGCCAGGATCAATCGCTTAGCCCATAGCTTTTGTTCAAAACCACTGGCTGAGATTAATGGGATTTTCCAGAGAGAGAGGTAGAAAAAGAAAGAGAGCGTGGGTGAGAGGGGGAATGAAAGTGCCAGACAGGGAATGAGAGAATGAGAAAAGACTTGGGGGAAATTGAGAAAATAAAACATAGTGATTAAGAGCAGATATTCCCTCCATTTCTGGGTAAATGTAAATTAATTGGAAATGGAGCATTCAGATGCTCGCTGACAAAAGTAATGTTTATTCATAGCCCCCTGCTAAGAGTAGAGCAATTATCATGGTGTGTTGAGTCAAAAC